TTTACCCTTAACTGCCACATACAAAGTCAGATGGAGCAGGGGCAGCGTCCTCAAAGGACAGAGGTGAGTAGACGCATGCCCGGATAACTGAACCCCAGGGTCAATCCGTGCAGGATGAAAAATTCTGCGATCTGGGGGTGGGGGTTAATTTCAGATGGAGAGAACAGAACAGAACTGTGGAATAATTACCGCCGATGTTCCACTATGGGAGATGAGGGGCAAGCAAACTCATGTGCTGGTTTCTACCCGACCGAAAAATAGTACCTAGGAGAGTAGGGACCGAAATAACATCCAGAAGGAAAATAAGAAGGGCGGAAAGGGAAACGCACCTCAGTCTTTAGTTCCAAATCATCTGCTCCGAAAAGAGCCTCGTCCTCATCGACCGACAGGGGCGTAGATTCGGGTTCCGTGCCGTCAATTATCTCCGAGAAGAATGCGTCTGCAGGGGCCTGTGTGTGGAGGAAGAAGAACATGTTGTTTGGGGGTCAATATTACACAAAAACGTTCTGGTCGCAAAAATGTATAAGCACAGAGCACATTTGTGAATAACTACAAACCTGATCGCTTGACTGGCAGCAATAAGCTGGTTATAGACAAGGCGATAAGTCAGACCGCGATGCAGAGAGCGGAGGTAGATCGCGAAAAACTCGCAAACAATGCATGCAAGTTGTTGCTTCGAAGCAGAAGCAGACGAATTCGGAGTTCCCGAGTAAAGTAACTTCTTCCCAAAGAAAGTTCATTTAGGACGCTGTGCGACAGTGTCGATTTCGACGATGTCCGCCGTGTGCTTCACAGTGTGGTGGTGGGTGTTAGAAGGATACGTCTCAGTGTGAATATCTGATCCACACATCCACGCCCAGCACGGAATCCGGCAGCTGAGGAGCTGATTGGCTCGATGGACATCGTGTTACATGCGTTTGCTGTCCTAAATACGTTGTACCTCTTACACAAACAGACTTCTGCCGTTGCACACTTCTTGTCGTGTTTTTCATTTGGGGACTCAGACAAGGCTTTATTGGGCGGTGATATCTCGGCCTGAGCTTCCGTTGCAACAGTGGGGGAGAACGGTAACTTACGCGTGGATTAGTTTTAAGCAGTAGTGGACTTGCATTGCATCTACTGCACTGTCTCTTCCCTAAACCGTATATGTCTGAAGTCAAGACAGAGCCCGGAAGAACGCAGGCAGAATCGGGCGCAGGAGGGAGGCGCGGCCGGAGCCACCAGCTAGCCTGACTCAAGTCCCACGGAGTAGGCGTGCCATAAAAGCTACGAAAGGCTGCTGCTGCTGCTGCCTAAGTCTGCACCTACGCGTGGCACCAACGCTCGCACCTCAAGGGTCAGCATTTATTATGAGTGCGAAACCTGAATAGAGCCTGCCATGCCCTGATCTGGCCCCCGTGTTGGTCCAACGCACCTACCAAGCCGACAGATAAATAGCTACAATGTGACAGTTCAACCGTCGAATTCGACGATGTCCACCGCGAGCTTCAGCAAGCTGAAGGCAATCACGGTGACGCACGCTGGATTATATGGAAAGTAGACTCGCACAGGATCTAACTCACCCTCTCACCAGTCCCACATCTGTGTATCCGGCGTCAAGACAAAAGTCGAGAGGACCGCAGATGGGGGTAGGGAGCTTCGCGTGGTGTGAA